GCAACACCAGTCTTCACCTTCACAACCCTCTTCTTCACCTTCGGCCGGTTAGCATCGGCAAGCTCCCTCAAACCTGGAAAAAAGACGCATAAGTAAAACGGCATGAGAGAAGGAAGAGCATAAACAGTCAGACAAAATTCTACTAACCATAAAAACCACGAACGTGCTGGTATGCACTCTCAGGACCGCTGTGAAGCACACGCAACTGAAAACACTCTACGATGCGGGTTACGTGGTCCTTCACAGATTGAGGGAACTGATGGGAAGCGCACCCAGCATCCTTAGAACCAACCGCGTAACCCGTGAGCGATTCGACCCTCCCGCATACCACTTCCATGATGGACGCGCAAAGAAGTATTCTTTGTACCAGGGTGAATCCAACTTAGGTGCCCCAATGACAAAACCCACGGAGTTCTCCCGCGTCCCAATTGACCAACAGTTGGTCGAATCACGAATATTGTAGATCAAGCGAAAGGTGTTAAAAGACGGCTCCTCCTTAAGGCGGTCACACGCCAGCCGGTACATCACTGAATGAAAAATGATGGTAGGCGACAAGAGCCCTAGGGTGCAACCAAGCCAGTGCAAGACCTTAGTCAAAATGGGGTCAAGCAGGAAACGCAACCCCAACTTCACCTGTTCCACATAGATCGGAATCCAACCAACCGGACAAGACCCGGAGCGACTCACCTACGAGGGGGTCGCATAATGGCAATCAGGAGGAAGGTGGAGCGACTTCAGGCGGTAAAGCACCTGTTCAGGCTTAAAAATCGCTTCATAACTCGGCCCCAGTGCAAACACGTCGGGGGGGGGGGGGCAGGCTGAGCGCCCCACATCCTGAACCGTATAAACCGAATCCTTGATCGCAAGCGGAAGCGGTTCAACGCCCTCTGGATCCACTATTACTAGATAAGAGGAAGTACTTGGAAGCGCCTCCGAGCGCACACCATCACTGTCAACCGCGTCATCCTCGTCCAAAGATATACTATCTAAACCTACCCACTCAAAATCACCCATGTTATCCCCCAACCGCGGATGAAGTAGCCATAACCCCAGTTGGTACAGGGCAGATGTTAGCAAAAGAGTTATCTAAGTCTAAATTGATTCCGACAAGATAATCTCGCAATTCAAAACCACTCCCAACGTACAATTCTAGCTTGGATAAATCCCACACGCACTCAGAGGCGGTTCGCGTGGGAGAAGAGCGGATCATACCTTGTGAAACAAGAGCGGCTCCTCCAGAGGGCCCCACATTTCTCTTCACAGGGACATATGGGCCCCCAAGCCCATGATCACTAAAGGCCCATTAGACATACAAACCCAACCCGGAGGCGGTCTTCCTTAGCACGATGGAAACCACCCGACATGTATTCAACGGAAACATGTCAGGCGCCCGACAACAGGCATGTACGGCGTCCTGACAAACCCAGTACGGACACTGACCAAAGTACGAATCTGACCATGCATTTAATTGAGGCCAGAGGCGCCCCTAGGTTGCCTGACAATGCATCAGTTGTCCTCACTCCTATGCTTAAATACCCATCAATGGATCACATTTATGGTAACTTCCAACTACTCCATTCTCTCTCTTATTTACTATTCTCTCAATCCTCTCTCTAACTTAGGCATCGGAGGAGGTCCCAGGATCCCCCTAAGGACCTTTCTTGCAGGGATTCGGAGACCGCCTTTGACCATCGAAGTCGCTTGAGGCCTTCGGGACTCACAAAACCGCTTGGTACGATCCAAGCACAAACATTTCTCACCCACCAAGATCAGACCTGGCTGCTCAGAACCATGCAAATAGTAGGGATCTGCCATAGGATCAACAGCAAGCTGAGGCTGTGCATTTGCAGCAGCAGCAGCTGGATCTGCTTGAACATTGTCGGCCATGTTTGTGGCGGCTAGGGTTTAGAAGGGCTCTGATACCATAATAACGCTTTGTTTGGAAAACCCTAAAACCCTAGGTTCTTCTCATTTCACTCTTCAGCTTATATAGCTGAGTAGGACAGTACATAGTTCAGCAGTAACTTACAATTCAAGAAAGAAGACAAAACGTAGGGAAAAAGAAAGTACAGGCCGAAAATGGTAAAATATTGAAATAAGAAGATCAGGTACTGATTGGCACTTTGCCAGTAACGACGTCACTCCACGAACGTTTGTTTAACTCTGCTGATGGTGGAACGGCGTCGCTTTGAATCATCTCCTTCCCTCTTGTAGACGACTCTGCTCCATTATTGACCGTTGGAGATTTGAATTGCAGCGGCAGCGGTGAAAATCTTCCGTTTTCCCCTAATAGGACATGATAATCATGGCGGTTTCAATTCGCCTAGATCCGACCCACAGAATCTACCCAGAGGCCGACCCATCATGCTGCTCCGCCGCCGGGATCGACCACTTCCACCGCCTCCCGGACTCCCTCCTCATCCTCGTCTTTAAACAAATTTATATATCTGCCACCCGACTCCCTCATCCTCGTTTATGGTAGCCTAGTTCGGTGCTTGTTTGCTTCCCATAAAGCTTCTCGTCGGTTCAATCCCCCTGCTTGTCCCCTTCTCGGTAAGGCAATATAATAGATGTTGGAGAACAGTGATACTCATATTCGATTAACATGAATGGAACATTGCATGATTAAGTTATGGAAGCAAATGTTGAAGTTAACAGACAAATTAGATGTTTACCCTTTTCAATTCACAGGAATCTCTACCAAACCTAGATTTCGAATCGGGGAGAAAGAGTAGGCTAATTGCAGTAAAATCCCAAATGAGTACACGTAGGAAAGTTTTACGTTGGTGAAAGTTATTAAATAATTAATTTTATTAAATAATAAATATGATGAAGACAAAGTAAGTGGAATGATGAGGTAAAAAATAAATATTAATATTTGAATTTCCACGTCATCTAGTAAACGGTCAAACTTTATAGTTGACTGCCACGTAGAACAAATTTAACAGAGTCTAACGGCTGTCGGCTAGTGACTAATTGTGAAAAGATTCATAAAGTTAGTGGCGAATAAGAAAGGAAAGTGATTCCTATGGCAAACGTGAAAATATTTATATAATTTGGGTGACCAAACATGTAATTTAGCCCTTTTTCTCAAACAACAATTTGTACCCTAATTTGCACCCTTCTAACTTATTTCCGCCTCGAATTTGCAGCCTCCTCGTTACCAAACCAAGGGACAATGTGCAGTTGGATGAAGGATTATTACTAGATTAGAGTGCATTTGCATCCCGTTGCCCTAAAGAACAAAACAAAGCATGCGAATCGTTTTTATATTATTGAAATCACGAATCTCAGTGAGGCGTGAATTTGACCGGTCCTTTTCTTCTTGATCGAATTGACAGTGGTCAGTGGGACTCGGAGAGTAAAAAAGACAAATCCGCTTTTTGTATTTTAGCTCGGAAAAGGCCACTTCTTGACTGCTATTTAACTTTTTGTTTGAGTGAAAGTGTGAATCACAATTCACCAGTCCTTCCATTGCATATTTGCATTGCATCATTATTATCATCATTTACTTTACCCAGATGTCTTCCATGAAGGCGACCCTGCTATCTACCCACACGTGACAACGTTTCCTCCAGCCCAAGCTCTTCTTACCTATCCTATCAACCGCTCCACCTCCCACGACATCTCTGTTTCTTCTCAACCATTTTCTCGAGGAAGAAAACAGGGGTTTCTGATCTTTGGTGGGTTTTGTTCCATTTTCTCTGCTTCCTTGGGGTCCGATTCATCTATGATCATCTGCTGCTGCTCTAGTCAACCATTTTGGTTTGTGGGTAAGCCTCCTCTTGAAGAAATATCTGATCTTTTCCCCCCTTCTTTTTATGGTTTCTGCAGTGTAGATGGTGTTGTTTGATAGTCGGCTGTCCCTTCGCTTTCAGTGTTATTGTTAGTGGAATGGGTTGTCAAATTCGTGTATGATTATTGATCATTGGTGAAGCCAATGGCCCTTTCCTAGATCTAATCATTTGGTTTAGACTTGTGGCTGCTTTTTTTTTTTTTTTTGTGGCATTTTCATATTTCTGATCATTATCAAGTTTTGGAGATCTGCTGCAGAATGGGGGTTTCCATTTTGGGTGTTTTTGTTCTGATCGTTACAATTAATGGGTACAGTCAAGATTCCTGACCAAATGTATTGTAATCCTAATTCCTTCCTGATGAAATATATTCCCAGTACCTGATGATATTGATTGACAAGTAGCTGGAGCTACCTTATGGTCCTTTTTTCAGTTTGGCTGTTTGAGGGTTCCCCATAAAATAAGTAGTTCATCTGCTGCTTGTGCAGCCACGTTTAGGTGCCGTACTTATCAAATTCCTTATGCAGAGATACTCAGATGCACTATGTATGTCTCTTTCAACTTAGGAGTAATATATTGGAGAAGATAAGCTCTTGCATGAGACATGTGCACTGAACTGAAATCACTGTTTACTAATTGTTGCAGCTGGGGTTTGAGCCTGTACATTCCTAGCTGAATTAGATTTCAGTCTGGGAGCTTTATTCTCGTTCCGGAGTGAGAATCTGAATGCACCACAAAATGGTACCGAAACTAGAAGCCATCAAAGGTGGTGGGGGATCCATCAAGGTTGGACCTACTGGAACAATCAGTGCCCTCATGACAAGGGAGCTTGAGTCCGCCAAATCTTCTCCGCAAACATCAAGTCCTCGAGCTCTTAAGCTTCGAACCGCTTCTGTTTCAGTTCCATGCAGTGTTAGCACCACTCCTAGAAGGCTACAGGCAAAAAAGCCTATGGATGAAGCAAGTACCAGTGGCAGCAGAACCCCTGAGACATTGAGGAAGGCTAAACAACAAGCGAAAGGAAGCCATCGAGTGCCGATGCTTGGCTCAGATAATTTGACTCTGGAGAGAACTCCTGTTAGAGAGAAGAGGAGCAGTAAGAAGGTGATTAACCTAGTTGAAGTTGTGGACATCAAATGTGGTAGCCCTGATGGAACATGGGCGACCCCTCTAACAAGCAAACTCAAGAAGCTTGGTTTCTCAAAGCTATCCGAGAGTGTCGCCTAGGGAGCTTGTAACTTCTTGGTTTTGGTTTCCAGGTTCTTGTAGTTGAACCCAGAAGTGATTTTTGTCTGATACATCAACCATCGAACATATACTCGGCAGTAGCCGGCTGCCTCCTTTCTTTTTCTTCTTTCTTGTTTGTACCACTGATCTGGATTGACTGGTACCAGCAGCAGCCGTCCCAGCAGCACTAGACTGATCCTTGTCCGGGCTATCTCGGCTGCTTGATTGAAGCTGGCTTAGATACCTGATTTCCTGCAGTATCAGGGACCTAATAGTCCCTTTGGCCGATTTCTACCGGATCTTTTGCAGCCATGTCTTCATAAAGCATCTCTCGCTCCAGTGCTGGACTCGTAGGTGTTTCTTTCTTGGTCGAAGAGGGTTTGGAGTTGAAGATGGAAAGAAGTGGTCTAGGAAACTTGTAATGTGAAGTTTAGCCAGCTAGTGGAAATCATGATCTGAATTTTGGCCAACTTGTTGCATTCATGCGGTTTCTACTGGATTTGGTGAGAGCCATCAGCTTAACAGGATAACTGCAGTTCCCACTCCATTCAAATCCTTAACAGCTAGCTCAGTTCACTTTCCTGTTACTATCAAATGTTGGCCAGGAAACATTATTAGTGGTGATATGAATTCATATAATTCTGGTACCTTGGCTGTTTACTTTTCCATGCCTTGAAGGAAGTAGCAAGATGAATGAAAGATGTCACACAAATCCTATAATATTTTTAACCAAGAAGTGACTTCACTTGAATAAAGTTGATTTTAAATTTTGCATCTCTTGCATAAAATTTGGTTTAGGTGAGATTTTGGGGTTTTGTTGGTGTGATTTGAAGTAGGGATGAGAAAAAAATACGAACCCACCGGTACCCTATCCAACCCAATCCGGTCAACGTGGGTAAAACACGTGTTGACGGGTTATGGGCTGGGTTCGGGGTTTAAACTCGTTCACTATTCATCGGGTTGGGTTTGGGTTTAGGTAAACCCGCCCTATGGGTACCCATCCACACCCATATAATTAGTTTTCCTGGTATATTTAATATTCTAAACAACTAATCTTTTTTATGTTCGTGGAGACATGTCTAATTTTATATTTCTAATTGTGTATGAAGTTGATATTATCGAGTAGAGAGTGAAGAAACTTAATTGACAATGAGGAAGAAGCTTTCAATTAATCAATCATGTTGTTTATGGATAATTTGTGATTTGTTTCAATTTTCTTGAGTTTTCTAGATTGGTGTTGAACCATTTGTATGGTTAATTTGTGATTTACTTGAATTTTCTGAAATGGTGTTTTATATATGGATACTTTGTATTTAGAGATTGATATTTGACTTTTATTTTGATAGGAACTGATTATTGTAAATTTTTTACGACAATAACCCATGGGTACCCATAAACCCGCGGATACCCAGCGAGTTGGGTTGGGTTTGAGTTATACAACCCAATGAGTTTTAACCCAGATATTTTACACGGATAAAACCATGAGTTTGGATTTGGATTTGGCAAAACCCGACCCAACCCGACCCATTGTCATCCTTAATTTGAAGCGAACGAATGTATGTTGGGAGCATATTTGATTGGCAAAAAGTACTTGTATACCCTTACTGTTCTAGGACACTTTTTAAGTGGAAATTCTACGTTGTTAAGGGGTCGTTTGGAAGTTGCGATAGTTTTGTTGAGATTATCATTATGCATGTATTGTTTACAATGCATCGTTTTTTTGTTTTTTTAGCAGAAACAATACATGGATTGTTTCTGTGATGTGACAGAAACTATCACTCATTTTGAGTGATTGTTATATCTCAACTTTTAGTTGTGATTGTTGAGATAGTTGAGTTGAGATTGTTTTGTCTCAGCTTTTAGCTGATGCGACATACACAATCACACATACCAAACGTTGTATTCTACAATGCATCAAATTCGACAATACATGTATAATATTATACATGCATTCTCAACAATACATCTATTTAACAATCGCAACTTCCAAATGACCCGTTGTTTTATATTTTGTTTCACATTCATCGTTTCCAGCTTCATATTCTTGACCCACTTCTTGGTCGTGATTTTTTGTTTCTTCTCCTCTTTGTCAAATTATGACTAGTAACGAAGGCAATAACATGCATGATAATAAATTTCCAGTGACTTTTTTTTTTATAAAGAATTTCCAGTAACTTTTAAAAACATACATGATCAAATAGTAATCACTCAATACTCTTCTCCTTAGGGGGAAAAAAAACGAAATGCTTATCCAATTACCAAAAAACTAATGTTGTCAGAACCGAACCGGAGCATGACCCGATAATGTGAACGACTCGCATTTTAGTGGTTCAACCGACATTAGACCGTTTAAAAATTATAAGAAAACCGGTACCTAATAAACGTTATCTGTATAAATAGTGGACATTTCTTAATTAGAGCTAGTCTCTTTCCTTCGAAATTGTGAAATGGAAATAAGAATTCAGTTTGAGAGGCCAACGTTTTTGGTTTATTTCAATTTTCAATTTTTTGTAATTTTTTAATTAAATTTAATGGCTGAATGGCAAAAATCGGACGAGCGGCTTGAGCGGTTAACCGCCTCAGCCGCTCGTCAACCTCTACATAAAACCAGAGCGGCTTTTAAACTGTTCTGAGCCAATTTGTGACTGGGTGGCGGTTTTACCGGTCGGGCCGAGTGGCTCGGCTCGGCTTTAATAACACTGCAAAAAACATATTTTCTAGGAGTGATTTTGATTTTGGAAAAAAATAAGGACAAAATAGTCGATTTCTCCCAACACACTAGAGATTTGCCAATCAATAAGTCTCCAAGTGAAATATGGAATTATTCGGACGAAACAAACAAATGATTTACTAATTCTATGAATCGTAAGAATTAATCACCCAAATCCACCACTAAAAAAATACCTTCAAAATGTTTAGGAGAGATTTTGGGTTAATTGCATGGTTGGTCATTGCGATTACAAAAAATGTTCATGTTTGGTCACTCGAAATATTTAATTTCATTCGTGGTAACTAAAATTAGTTAAATAGTTCAAGTTTGGTCACTCTCCGTCCAACTCCGTTAACTTTTGCTTACGTGGCGGTCAACTCTAAAAGTTGACCGTCATATGTGTGACATGACATTCAAAAAATAATAAAATAAATAAAATCTAATTTTATAAAATTTCCACCTCATTTCTAACTATTGAAAACATAAAAATAAAACAATAAACTATTAAAAGTAAGAACAACGGGAAATCCTCACTCCTCGCCTAATTAACAAGAGTATAAAGGTTAGTAATTAGTACATGAATGATACCTCACATGCATGTACACCCACTAATAATGTCAAAGCTTTGATTAGAACTATGATTCCATAAATTATTGTTGAATTGGAATGTGATTATTTTGTAAGCATTTTAAAATTGGAATAGTTATTTTCATACCCATACGACCGACTACATGGATTTACAATTATCATTAGTTTTATTTATGATTCAATCATAAATTAATGAAAACATTTTTAAATATAAAACCTAATAAGTACAACAAACTATTTATGGTAATTAAACATATTAATAATTCACATACTAATCAATAATAACTCATGTAATCGTAGTTCTAATCACAAATTCTTTTACATACAAATAAATCACACAATTTTTTTATTTTGAATATCTGAATCACAAACACTAAACCATGGATCACAAATTCTAATTTGTAAATTACATGTATATTCACATAATTTTTTTAAAAGATCGGTCTGACCAATGAGCGAACCAGAGCGGGGCGCTCATATTTCTACCCAAACCATAGCGGGACAGATCGAATATATGTCTGGACCAGGTCGGGGCGGGTTGGAAACCCGGCTGACCCATGGCGGGGCGGATACTCACCCTGCCTCGCCCTGGCTCCAGGTGGGTAACCTATCCGCTTCTCCTCCGACCTCCGCGTAAACCCTACCCGCCCGACCAGCAACGAGGCGGGTTGAAAACCCGTCGCCGGCCCGGCTGAGACAGGTTGACACCACGTCTCCAGCCTGCCGGCGATGGGTTTTCAGTCCGCCTCGTTGCCGGCATCAGAAATAAAAAAAAAAATTGAAGGAGTGACTTTCACCACAGATCTGGCTAGGAGGAATGACGATGACGGCGCGTCTTCAGGCGGCTTCTTCTGGGATGCTACCGACAGTGAGTCTCGTGGTTGGCGGTGGGCTTCTTCTTCCTCCTCCGACGGGGAGAGTCTCGTGGCTGACGGCGTTGTGAAGTTGTCGCGGGATGTGAGGGGAAGGGAAGGGCAGATAGGTGGCTGGCGAGAAGGGAAGCCTCGTTGCTGGTGGCGCCATGGCGGGGAGGGTGGCTGGTGGCGGGGTAGAAGGGCGTTGGAGATGGGAGGCGATACAGGGGAGGGGAAGGGGATGGACTGGTCGGTTGGACTTGGGTAATGGGTTTAGGTTTAGTTGAGGGTAAAAGTGTCTATTTGGGTAGTCCAGGGCGATAGAATTCAAATATTTAGGGCGTAAAATAGCATTCCAGATTAACAAAAGGGTTTGTTTGGATGGGTGTCGTAAGCCAGTGGTATTTGTCATTCTCGTCTGGTTTGGATGCTCTCTTCTTGTCTACCACATGATTTTCGCTTCATCAATGATGAATTTGTTTCACAAGGATGCATGATCACTACATCGATGTCCCTCAGCCATCATATGCTCCAATTCAAAACCTCCCTCTGACCTTCCGTAACAACCACCATATGGTGGTGGATCACCACCGGACGAACCCCGAAGCAGAAGGAGCAACAGACCCATCACCACCTCCACAAACTGAGCCAACGAAGGACCCATCGCCGCTGCCGCCACCGCTACCGCCACCAGAGAAACCACATCAGGAGAAACCATCGCCACCAGCACCAGAACCAAACTCATGAAGCCGCAACCATCACAACCGGCGGGTACTAACCCATCACAATCGCCCCAATCCACGCCTACTCATCACTGGATTTCTTAGATCCTTCAGATCTGGCGCTGCAATTCCCCGTTCGGCACTCCGACTTCTAGATCTGGCACCCTATCTCCAGATCCGCATCGCATCTCGTCTTCGTCTTCCTTTCATAGTGCTCCTTCTTTGTCTTTCTCATCCTCTCTTCAGCCGTCGACTGGCGTTTGTTCGTCGATGCGAATAATGATTATTGGGTGAGTATTTCATCGAGAAAATGGAAGATGAATCGACTAGGTATTGGTTGGATATTTATAGCTGAGAGAAGGACGGAACGAACTGGGTGAATCAAGGTCGTCGATTTGTCGGCGGACGGTTGATTGACTAGGCTTCTAGTCGGCGATGGAGCTGGTAGGTGCGGCTGGATGATTTGCAGCGGCGGCGGTGGAAACTCAAGAGAAGAGGAAGGGGAAGAAGTGAAAGGGACGGAAGAAAAACAGTTAGGGGGTGTTAATAAACTTAAAGAAAATTGATAATTTCCACCTGGCATAATTTTTGACGAAAAATTGCCACGTCGTAAAAAAATGTTAGTCCAATAAGCATTTACGGTAGTGCCGTCAAAGTTATTGACAGAATGGCTATATCTGTGTATTTTTAAAAAATTGGCTATTATTGTCACAAAGTATAAAATTATGGCTATGTAAGTGTATTTTGCCTAGTTAGAAATGAGGTGGAAATTTCATAAAATTAAATTTTATTTATTTTATTATTTTTTAACTGCCGTGTCACACATTTAACGGTCAACTTTTAGAATTGACCGCTACGTAAACAAAAGTTAACTGAGTTGGACGGAGAGTGACCAAACTTAACTATTTAACTAATTTTAGTTACCACGAATTGAATTAAATATTTCGAGTGACCAAATATGAACGTTTTTTGTAATCTCAGTGACCAACCATGCAATTAACCGAAATATTTTATTTCCAAAATCCTATAACGATAGAGTATCATAGCTCGAATCGATAATTAATGAATTTATTATCAAACAATTACCCATCATTTCAATCAATATTTTTCTTATCATTAGAAAATATTTTACATCTCATCAACTCAATTTTTGTCTAACTGTGATGACAACACTGATTGGAAATGGCTGATATAGATTTTGGATCGAGTTAATGAATGCCAATTGCCAATGCAATCCTACGTTCGGACACATCCTATCCTTTCTCTTTCGTACAGCTCCCAGCGATGAGCTAACACACTTTTCCTTCCATTGTTGAGTGGATAGGCAGAAGTTGAAGCCGGGAACCACAAGAAAGAAAGAGCCGCAGAGATGGCTTCAATCCCATGTGCAAGTACCGCCCACCTCCACCATTTCTCTTCCAGACATTCGCATCCTCGGTCCTCTGCTACAAAGCTCACTTCTTCCTTTCTGGGGTTCCAAAACCGGGTCCGACCCTGCAGTATCGGACCCTCCAACGGCTCGAGAGTGAAGTGCTGGTTTAAGTTCGGCAAGAACGGCGTTGATGCTGAAGGAGCTGGGATTTATGGCAGCCAGGCCCGTGACGATTTCGACAGAGACGATGTCGAACAGGTCCTCTCTCAGTCTCATGATTCCTTTGTGCTGGTGTATTTGGTTGTCATTTCTATGGTTTACTTCATTTATGTTACCATTTTCTTTCATTCTTTCCACTGGCGGGAGAGAAGTTAGGGAGGGAGTAATTGCAATTGCTTTGAGCAACAATGAATTCCATGGTAAAGTTTGGTGCATGACTGATCTGTTTCCGGTGTTGTAGATGTCAAGTTAGAAAGCTGAACTGCTGCATCAGAAAGCTCTGCTAGAGAGATAACTGGGGCCTCTCAGTGCTTAGTCTTTCAACTGTTCTTAGTGAACATAATATTAAGTTATGTCACCATAATGGAAGATGGGACTTGTTATTTGAAGAGTTCACTTGAATGGGAGGAAAGGGATAGGAAATGTTAAATCCTGAGTTGGGTTTGATCTTGCTTATGTGAATCCAGAGCGAACCATTTGCAGCAAACTCATGTAGACATGTACATACACTGAGGATAGGACATCATTAGTACGCAGGGAATTAACGTGTAGCTTAGTGCAAATAAGAAGTCTCGCTTCTGAGTATCAGTGCAGACTGCAGATGTTGGTGTGCACGAAGGGTATTAGGGAGCAGGATGGCTGCTTCCTATAAGGAATGGTAGGGTTTCAGCCATCTAACCCGTTCTATTTTTGTATACTGTATAACCCAGTTCTATACTGTATAATCTGGCTTCAAATGCTACTGAGAGTGAATAGTCTTATGACGAAGAATGACTCCGTTGCTCTCGAACATCAAGTTATTAGTTCATTTCGTATATGGCAAAATTTACCTATGAATTTATTTACTCTCGGTTGCTTCTAAATTTGCAGTATTTCAACTACATGGGAATGCTTGCTGTTGAAGGTACATATGACAAGATGGAAGCACTCTTGAGCCAGAACATCCATCCAGTGGACATACTGTTGATGCTAGCTGCATCTGAAGGCGATAAGCCGAAACTAGAAGAGCTACTGAGAGCAGGAGCAAATTACAGTGTGAAGGATGTAGATGGGAGGACCGCCCTCGATAGAGCTAGTGAGGAGATCAAGGAATTCATCCTTGGATTCTCAACCCAAAAGGCCTGAGTTGAATTTATTGGTTAGGGCTATTACATCTCTCTTACATTGGTCGTTTTGAATTGGATCTGATAGTAGTATTTCATGGAAGACTCCATTGTCCTATTCCGGAAATTGTAATATTTGGGTCTTACCAGAAAGTTTTGTCCAACATTTCCCAGTTCTTATGAGAGTGATCTCTGTGAAATGTAAGGTAAAGGAAGAATACAAGATTAAACGTGGCTCAACCTTACTTTATGGAGCTCTTATTAGGAGTGCATACCCGAAAACAAACGATGTAGAAGAACCATATACCGGGCAACCACCATCACCAATGCAGGTGGATGAAATACTCTGAACAATGAAAAAAATAATTAACCATTGGCGTAACCGGACAGTATTACTGCAAATGGAAAACTCTGCAGCAGGAGACAACTTCATCTGGTGTTCAAATTAAACTAAGCTCCAAGTTTCTACCCTGAGGGTGGCTCAGAAGTTTCTTTCAGTATGTGCCAAGTACACTGGTTGTAGAGCCAACTAAATACATCTGTAAGTCAATTGATTTCTCAGATAACTTTGCCGGGGCATCACACTCATAGCAGCTCTATCATGACCTACTCTGTGAAAGAGATGACTTCTGAGCGAGCTACTACCTCTTCTTCTTTCTACCCTTTTCAGACTTGGACGCTCCGGAAGTTGAAGTAGATGCAGGTTCCTGCTTCCTAGTCCTTCCTGGATGTCGAGGAACCAGCTCAGCCACACGGAGCATTAGTTCTTTTCCTGTAATACAACACGACCAACATCAGAAAGAGCACTACAATTTGACCAGAAGCCCAGGGAATGATTTGGGCAGATAGTAGATATAGCAGTAGTCCTCAAACTAAAATTCTGAATATACTGTTAATGAACTGAGACCAGTAAAATCCTGACAGAAACCCCCAAATACAAATTGGCTCATTCATGTTTAAGAACCATCTCATCTCAATACCACAGAAGTTAGAAGCAGCCGAACTGACAAACATAAATTTCAACACAAATATGCTTCATCCGCTAGCATACACGGTTACTAGTGTCGAAGGAAGGAATTAGTAACCAGATGAAGCAGCACCTGCCGAACTAGAGCTTCATTCTTCGGACAAAACAGTTCCACAGAAACATATACCACTAATTTGCTTAGTGTTGTTCACTTCACATGCTTATAGATGGTCAAAATCATGTCATTCTAATCAACAACCATTGTTCGAAGAATTGAATTCCCAATCAAGCCTACGAAATCCAACACTTTCATCACCACTGCTGTATATGCTTTAACACATTAGGTACTTACGGGTCGGAATGGAAGGATTGTAGGGAGTTCCATCTTCCCTTTTCAGCAACACTCTCACCCTCCCTCTTTGCATGAAATCCCGGGGATAAGCTTTATCAGGCTACAAGTAGACGACCATTTCTGAGTCCAAATACGTTCCCCAAACATGGAAGAAAGATAGACTGAAATCAAAGGGTCGCAAATTTGTTAAACAAACCTCAATTGCGTAGCGGAGACTGAGGTGTTTGCAACAATCGGCAATCTCAATACAGGTAGGATTCTCGCAAGCCTTTTGAGCACCGATTCTTCTGCCATCGGCGATGGTCTTCTTGGAATTTATGTAGACCGGGTACAGCACAATCCACTTCTTTATGTTATCGGAACCTTGCTCGTCCATTGTTCGTCTGATCCCAACCCTGCAATCATCGCGCATTACCGTTTCGGAGACGAATTAGATCCAGAACAGAACAGAGAATTGATGAACCGCGAGACATGTTAATCGGATTGAAATCGAGTAAGAGGAACCCTAGAATGAAAACAGAGACACAGGAGTTGGGCGATTCGATTAAGTTCAATCTAGTGAAAGAGATGCGAACCGGAGGTGAAGGCTGTTTGGGTTACGCAGAGAAAATCTGCGCCGATAGCAATTGCTGCAGTTGTTTGCGATTCAGATGGCCGGCTCCGATTTGATTAATTGTCCTTGATAACTAACTCATACATGCCTAAAGTTCCTATATTTTAAGCAGTTTACGATTACAGCTTTTAGTTAAATTTGAAGACAAATTGAAACCAAGTAAAGACTATAACTAGCTGTGGGCCCGGCCTTTGGCCGGTAGTTCTTTTACGGGAAAGTGTATAAATATATTCTTTAGACTAGCTGCGGGCCCGACCTTTGGCCGGAAGTTTTGATGATTTGATTTCCCATTTTCCCTCTTTTTTATTTGATCTGATATGTTTTTCTTTATAAATATAGGGTAATCATATTTTCATTGTGTAATTCAATCCAAAATTTCAGTCACTAACCCGAATATGGTTGTATTACTATAGGGAAGAGAGATTGAGTGGATAGACAGATTAAGTTAGACGCATATTGCACTGAAGTTTTGGTTGAAGTTGTGATGGATTTGAGATAATGTAAAGCAAGTCGAAAATGCAAGTGATGGACCGTATAATAAGCCTCTTCATCCAAACCAGTGATATGTTACACTGCTGTTGGATTTACTTTGCAATTCCCTCAAGCAACCCCTTTTCCTTTGACATTCTCAACCTTTGATGCATTAAGTACCAACCAAAAGACATGCTTAAGTAACTGGAATAAGGATCCATTAATTACGATTTACCAACCAAAAGACATGCTTGAATAACTGGAATGAGGATCTATCACGTACGATGTACACCTTGTTTAAATAACTTATGGATCTACTGTCATCGGCACGACATAAGAAAATATGAGCAAACTACATAATTAGAGAAGCAACTTGGTCATACTAAACTAATACATTTGGAGTTTGAAAAATGGGAGAGTAAGACAACGATATGATGGACATAGAATTTTCAGGTAGTACAGTCAAACGTGATGCCCGATATGTTTAAGGCTACTTAAAAAGCAATCAGCAAAGGAAACCCAATGTGGAATGACTTAATAGTATATGCAATGCGTGTTTACCCATGGGAACCAACATCAACATTCATTCACTAACCACTTGCTCGGTTTAAGAGACAATATTGCCATAGCTCTAACCTGAAACAGAATTTTACATCAACCTAAATCCTACTCTATCAGTTCCTCCGTACCTTAGCCAATCGATCTAAACAGGTAATATGATGAATCATAGGAGCAATCCAAATAGACACGTCAACATAAGCGCACTCTAAATTGGAGGTTGAAAGAAGATATCCACATTTTTAGCGACATGGGTAAACATATCGAACTGAGCAAAACAAAGGGCTTATTTAAAGCTTCCAGTCAAAAGGTCCAAAATCTATGAATTGGAGAACGAAGATGGCTATGGACTATGGTGGGATCACCCACCACTACACCTACTGCAAATTAGTATCTAAAAAATACTATAAGCGTTTTCTCAAACTGTCTTTCAGGGATTCAAATTTTACTTTCATCCACCCACCACTACATCCTCAGTGTAAATGACAAAGATGATTTTGTTACTTTTAAAGCTTGTTGATTTTATATTGTTTGCGGCTTTACTCAATACTTGTTTATTTAATTTAAATATAATGGCCAAAGAAAAATGATTTGTTTTTTTTTTAGGGTAAGAAAACTGGTTCATGGTGTTGTTGAAGAAAGGGGTTCACCTCCCTGCTATTTAAATATAAGGGAGGTGTTGAAACCAAATTCATAAGGAAAAAAGTCATATTTATGCAATTGAAGCATTAGTAGTATGACTCACTAAGAAAGCTATGTAGAAGTGTTGGGTATGTGCAGGTAAGGTTGTTCTTTCCGTAGCTGATTCTAGGTCTCTTGAACAAACATGGGTAGTAGACACTGGCGCTACTGACCATATGGCTTGTTGTTTGTCTATGCTTCAATCCTTTCGTGTTGTGCATAATTCCTTTGTGACCTTACCTAATGGTTCTAAGGCCAAAGTGACTCATATTGGAACAGTACATTTAATTGATCATCTCATCATTTCTAATGTCATGTTAATTCCCTCATTCTCGTTTAATTTGCTATCTGTAAGCAAGTTAACTACGCATCATAATTGTTCTATGACATTCATTCATAATGGTTGTTTTATCCAGGAGCTGTCAGCTATGCAGACGATTGGTATAGCTGAACAGGTCTCTGGCCTTTACTATCTTCAACCTGGCACCTCTCTACCTGGTCTTGCTATCCCTCAGTTGCTATCCACAGCATATGATACATCACATTCTATGTTTGATTTGTGGCATTATCGTTTGGGACATGCCTCTACTCCTAGAATAAAAGGATTACATGCTAATTCTGTTCCTATTACTGTCAATGCCAACATACATTGTTCTGTTTGTCCAATTGCAAAACAGAAACAATTCCTTTTGCATCTAGTGATTCTGTTAGTGCATCTCCTTTTGATTTGATTCATTGTGATGTTTGGGGGCCTTATAAGGAACCAACTATTGATGGTCATCGATATTTTTTTGCCATTGTGGATGATCACACCAGAGTTTCTTGGGTTTATCTTCTTAAACACATTTCTAGCAATTTCTAAGCCAAGGAAATAACGTAGGGGTCCCAAGTCTTTTATCTTGAAAGTAGCATCCAGTTTAGACTTAATGGACTTCATTTTTGACAAATCATCGCATGTTAGTATCACATCATCAACATATACTAATAAGGCTAAGAACTTAGAATCAGATTGTTTTGTAAACAAGGTATGATCTGCCTTGGACTGAACAAAACCATTAGCTAATAAAAACTCAGTCAGTTTTGAATTCCACTAGAAGAAGATTGTTGCAGATTTTGTGTAATCGTCAGCAAATAGAGACTGCATGTCATCTATTAATGTCACTTTAATCATACTTATTGTGATTTTGAAACGTCACTTGCCCTTCTGTAGGGGGGAGTGTATTATAATTACAATTGAAGAACAACATTAAAACAAAGATAATTTTCATCGGAAACATAATAACTCATGATAAACATAAGGACATGCAATTTGGAACCGGAATTATATATGCATCTGTGACAGAGGATTCAACCCGACCAATTGGATGAAGAGCAGAAACCAAAGCGATTGAAAAGGAAAATTCAGAAGCAAACCGATTGAGAGCAGAGACCCTTACGGCCTATAGGACAGCCTATGAGATTAAAGAGGGAAGATGGCTTTGTTGAAGTTGATACTGTGTTGTTGCTCTGCATGATACTTTCTCAACTCCCTCAGATCCGCTGACTCCAATCGCCTCTTCTCGTCTCCCTGTATCTTCCGACTCCAATTTCAGTACGATTCCCCTCCATAACCTCAAGTCCCGACCGCGAAATTTCTCAACAATTCGTTAATGCTGGTTTGGAATGAATCTCAATCTAGTGGGAGAGACATAAGGATTCGGCACGATTTGACATGTTGATCAGAGGGGATTTAGTTCCGGGCGATTAAACATGACAGATCGAGGTTGAAATCGAAAGTACAGACTACAGACTGTCAAATAAGAGCGCATCATTCGACTGGGCACTGTTGGCGGATGATTCACAGTGCTGAAGTCGGTAGTTGCAGGCTTGACGTTTACTCGCTGAAGCGGAGATGAAAGTTTTGCAGATTTGGAAGACGAACCGTTGCGGTGAATGGTAAGGAAATAACGGGTATCGGATGTTGGAAAGGAGGATTTTTTAAATAGAGAGATGATGGAGAGAGAGCGAGTATGTGATGACGTGGAATCGTGGATGGAAGTAAAATTTGAATCCCTCAAAGGTAGTTTGAGAAAACGCTTATAGTATTTTTTAGATATTCCTCAATAAGAAAGATTTCAAGGAGCTCTCGATGAAATCACATCACATGAGTTGTTTATGAGTTGTATAAAGTTTTTAGGAGTTGTGTTACATATACGTAATAACGAGTTCCATTTAATTAATCTAAGGGTCGTTTGGATGTGGAAATGTAATGCAGTAATTGGACCCAATTACCACATAATGCAGTAATTGGGTTAAAAACCCACGTTTGGGAGAGCAAAAAGGGTATGGGAATTGGACCATGGAAATTGGCTTCAATTACCACATTCATGGTAATTGAGAATACTACACCTCCCCCTAGTAATTTGACATTACCACGTTTTCTAACTTCTTTTTCCAAATTCCACACCATCAATTCCCACAAAACTAAACCCTATCCAAACGTGAATTTTTTTCAATTTCCACAAGTCAATTCCTTGGTTTTGTAAAACATGGAAATTCAGACAAATTCCAACGTTTTCAAATTTCCACATCCAAACGACAAGAGATTTTTCAGTCTCACACTAGTCCAACTGAATTTTTCATCAAAATCACCTATTTCGTTTACAAAGTAAAAGTTTGAACAGGATCCCACTAACCCTATTGTGTATTTGATCCAAATGAACACGAATAAATAATAAATTCAAGGCATTGAAGGGTATATATGTAAATAGGCAGTAGGACCTTTACGAGTTTTTAGTTTTTTTTTTATGAAATTATTAGATTCTAACATGAAAGTTTTGTTTTCTATGTTGTCAGAACCGAACCGAAGTATGACCCGGTAACGTGAACGGTTCGGTCTTTAGTGGTTCAGTCGGCATTAGACAGTTTAAAAATCGTTTGGGAACCGGTACCTAATAAACAGTCATCTGTATAAATAGTAGACACTTCTTAATCATGGTAAACCACAAGTAAATTACTCTCTTAAACCATTCTAGAACATCAGTACTGAAAGATCTAAAATTCAATTCCAAACCACCACATTGCTCCAAAATAAAAGCAATATCACACGAGTCTGAACATTAACCACGAGGCAGAAGCATAAACCATTACAAATTAAATGGGACAGCAGTAACATAAACATAAACCATTACAAATTAAATGGGACAGCAACAACATAAATCATTACAAACAGCAACATAAATCATTACAAAATTGCTCACATCAGCATCACAGTCACAAACACTTACCGGTGCAGGGGAGGGCAGCAGGGGTCGGTGCAATAGGAGTCGGTGCAGAGGAGAGGCAGTGACCGGGGAAGGGAAGGGAGACCTCACCGGGGCACTCGCCGGCAGGGGCTCGCCCAAATTGGAGGGAAATGGCGACGGGAAATGGCGCTGGGGAAGATGGCGATGGCGACGAGTCACAGGCGACGAAGAAGATGAAGAAAATGGCGACGGGTCACATGCGCTGGGGAAGATGACGATGGAGACGGGGAACGGCTGGGGAAGACGGCGATGGAGACGGGGAACGGCGCTGGGATTTGGAGTTCAGACTGGAAGCGGCACTTCCTTATCTCCACGAAGAAGAAGATGGAGAAATTGGGAATTAGGGTTCTGCAACATCAGACAGCCCAACCCACCTTCTCCTTTAATTTTCGTTCTTTAGTTTTTGGTTGTTAGTTTTCATTTTTTTTAATTAAACCAACCAGCCCAATGTGAAAAAGCGGACGATCGACTCGAGCAGTTCGAGCAATGAACCGCTTCGGCCGCTCGCCGGCCGCCCCAAAGAACCAGTCCGGCTAAATAGCTGATACGAGCCGGTTTTGTACCCGGTTGGCGATTTTGGCGGCTCGGCTGGCCGGCTCGGCTCGGCTTTCACAACACTGGTTTTCTTACATGATCTCATACACTACGGGTCATGGTCATCAACTAGTCAAAATAATCAGACAAGAGCCGCATGAACATATCCTACAGGTCATTTAGACATCATCATATCATGTCCTCCTCTTTATGTCGCAAAGACATCTAGGACTTTATGTCCAGTGGCGAATTCAGAATTTTTTTATAGATGTGTCCTTTTCCAAAAATTAAAGTAAATTAAAAATTAAATTAAATCATTAATAAATAAAAAATATTTGACTAGTGCAAGTATACCATATTAGATAATAATTCATGAACTGATCGCATATTCGATTTCTAACCTTGTTCCTAATGTAACTCAAACTTGAAAGACTCTTTCAACTCTTGCAATATACCTATAAAATCAATTCAAATTAAGCATAGCTCGAATGTGTTTAATTGCTAGGTTTTGAAAATAATGGGAATAAAGAATAGTATTTTTACTATTACATATTGTTTAAAATAGAACAACAAATGAGTTGCAAGCTAGAGAATATGTATAGTAATAGTAGTGTCCTAGGTTTGAATAACACAGAGTACTGCTTATATAATTTTAATCATACGCAAACTACTACCGAGGACAGGATAATCATTTTTTCAAAATTTAAGGGTGTCTCGGATTACCAATTATATTTTTTTATCCATACGAAACTACTAACGGGGTTGGATAGAGGTGGCAAATGGATTCGTGGATCTATGGATCAAATAGATTGGTGGATTCATGGATTAGATAAAGGGAATTGGTGGATTATCCATGAATCCAAATGACATATTCTTTTTTTTTTACTGGAAATCTGGTTCATTTCATTAAGAAATTAGGCCCCATGACCCCTATCAGCTTCAATCATACAACTTAGAGATAATGGAGGGTTATCAACCCAAACCACTTGCTGATCCCACCCCAACCCAATGTGAGCTAACCAGTGGGCCACAGTATTCAATTTTCTAGGTCTAAACTCCCATCTCACTTCTCTTCCCGATAGAGACTCATTACATCTAGCCAAACATTTCAGCTCCTCACACCAGAAACCTATCTCATTACAATCTTCCTCACCTTTCTTCAATTGATTCACCAAAACCTGGCAATCCGTTTCGACGATCAAGGGGCTAAGCTCCCTCCGATTCGCCTCCCTCATGCCCATAACCAGAGCCTTAGTCTCTCCTTCAATGGATCTACAAACCCCTTTCTCCTTTCTCGCCATCGCCCCCACAAAATCTCCTCGCCAATCGCAAATAATGCATCCCAGGCCAATCCCTTGGTCTTTGATCACCCCAGCATCAGAATTCAGTTTGTAAAACCCCTCCGGAGGCGGAGTCCAACGACTGTCTTGTTCCGAACGGTCTCCCAACGAGGCACTCATGGAGTCTGGGCTCGAGGAATCTTGAGCAGCCAGATAAGTCGAGAGCCATCCCAAAGCACGAGGGATGATCTCCTCCTCTTCCAACTTCCTGTTATTGAATTTGTGGTTGCAACGCTCCTTCCACAGGTACCATAAGATTGAGCAGAACCTTTGAATTCTATCTTCTGTAAAAGTTTCCAAGACTTCTTTAATTCACTCAAAACACGACTTTCCCTCGCCCTTTTCAAATATGTCCTTCTCCTCACAGTTTCTTCACCTTCTTCGAATCCAATCACAATCGCGAAGGACATGCATCTGTGTTTCAGGGAGGCTGCAAAAAGGACACTCAGGGGTGGCCCTATCAATCCATTCCTCGACTTGAACACCCACGGGTAAGATATTCTTGCACACTTTCCATAGAAAGATTCGAACTTTAGGCTGAATGTGAAGATTCCAGATAGTTTTCCAAACATTAGAGTCTTCAGGATCAAGATAATGAGAACGAGATAGGTGACCAAGCTGTTTGCTTCGAATAAGAGTGTAAGCAGACTTAACAGAATAAATTCCTCTTTCTGAATCTTTCCTAACTCTGGAGTCAGGCCTGAGAGGGAATCTGAGAGGGATTCTTGAAATAAGAACCTGATCATCCTTAGAAAAAAACTCCTTAAGCTTTTCCATATCCCATCCCCCTGAACTAACATCAATTAGAGTACTCACTAGGGCTTCAAGGAGGATCCCCATTCCAGGCTGGAAAAAACTCTTCCTTGGGATCCATTCATCGCTCCCCATGTTAATTGACTCCCCATTTCCAACTCTCCATCTAAAGCCATCAGTAATAATTTCTTTTGTAGCAAAAATACTCTTCCAAATGTAGCTCGGTTGGAAGCCAAGTTTAGTCTGTAAAATATCAGTTTTGAGGAAGTAACGAGCCTTTAGAACTCTAGCCATAAGAGAGTGAGGTCTGCTTAGCACATTCCAAACCTTCTTTCCAAGCATAGCAAAATTGGAAGCCTTGAGATCCCTGAATCCCACTCCACCTTCCTCTTTACTGTCACACAACTCATCCCACTCAATCCAGTGAACCTTGGATTCCTTTCCCTTCTGACCCCACCAGAAATTAGAGATTAATCTCTGAATTTCTTTCAAAGTTCCTTCTGGGACCTGGAAAACAGACATAGGGTACAGGCATTGAGCTTGGGCAACAACCTTAATAAGAATCTCCTTTCCAGCCTGAGACATAGTTCTGCTCTTCCAGTCTTTAAGCTTCTTTCGCACTCTCTCTTTAATTTCCTCAAAATGGCCTTTTTTTATCTTCCCACAACAGTAGGCAGTCCCAGATATTTGGAATGTTTATC